GCTCAGCGCGGCAGCCATGTAAATGTAAATGAAGCCGCGATCATTTAAATCGCGGCTTCATTTGCCTTTGCCAAAACAACAAATCTACATGGCTCCGTCAACGGAGCCATGTAGTTTAGACGTACCCCTACATACACGTTCATGTGGGATGTCTCCAGCCCCACCCTTCTGTGAGGCTCAGGCGTGCATGGAGCCATCCATAAAACAGCAGGGACTCTCTGTGGGTTTCCAGAGCCTGGGAGGATCAAAGCGCGACTCCCATCACGAGGCAGCCCTGGCAATATTAGAAAGGTCTTTAGGGGCTCAGCTCCAATTAAGGATTCCTCTTTTTTAACTGACATTTTCAATTCCATTTTAACTCACACGTAGGCTCTCCCTATGCCTGCCTCCATTTCCTGCCAGCGAGGGGCGAGAACCCTGCTGACACGGGAGAAACTTAACTTGAAGAGACGAGAGTGAGGCAAGGCAGTCTGTGAGTAATCCCCATGCTTCCAGACACCCCCAGCCAACGTCCTCGCAAAGCCCCTTGGCTGCAGCTGGATCTCACAGTCCACAAGGCACGCCAAGGCCATGGACTCAGGTCCAACAGGAGGGAGGGGTAAGAGCTCAAGTTACCCCGAGTGTGGGCAGGAGTAGGAGGGGTTCCAGGCCTGCTTATTCCATCCCCAGAGCAAGCGACTGGAGAGAGGCTGGAGGCTCAGGTCCAACCCCTGCCCCAGCCCTGCAGTGGGCAGAGCAGCTGGCCCCATGGTGCTGCTAGCGTGGCCAGCTCGCCTCTGGGATACGGAGACGGGGGGAGCTATGCCTCAGCGGGACGTCTGAGTCACAGTGCCTCCTAGAGCTACCCGGGACGATGCCGTTCACACACCACTCCTTGCCCCAGAGGGCTGACTCCTAGTGCCTCTCCCCAGTGGCTGTTACACCTGGGGACGCTCTCTTTGCCAGCACAGTCGGACATCCCCGGGCCCCAGCCCAAGAGCAAGGCAGGGGAGTGTGGGCTCACTGTGCACAGCTCAGGACTTCATGCTCCACCCAGAAAGCAGACGTCCATTCCAGCGGGAGGCACGATCAGCCCTGGCCAGAGTCTTCCAGCCTTAGCCGACTCCTCTGCCCTCACCTTCGACTTCCCCCAGAGCAGCATTTGGTTTTCAGGCGCAGCGAGCGCGTCTCCTCGGCCAGCCTTGCTTACGCACAGGAGCAGTCGCGCTGGCAGGGGCCAGGCTGGTCACAAAGGACTTGATGGGCTCCGCTGAAGTCAACAGGAATTTTCCCGACATCCATGGGCTTTGATGGTGTTCCGAGTGTGGTACAGCGCAGCCTGGGGCAGGGTGGCAGATCCGGCCCTTCACAGAACCCAGAGGCTCGCTAGTCCCTTCCCCAGACACTGAGCTAGTAATAGGTGTCTCTGTGGTAGGTGAAAATGGAGCATTGATGTAATGTGCTACTCACTGTCTAACCAGATCTGAGGAACCTTCACCCCGAGAGCCCGTTAGATCAGGGGTGGGCAATAATATCTGAAGGGGGGGCACTTCACAAATTTCTGAAGTGGTCCTGGGCTGCCCAGGAAGGGGCGGGGCCTGGGGTGGAAGGGGAGGGGCCAGGAGCCTTCCCATGCTCCCCACTCACAGACCTTATTGGCCTGGGGGGTGGGGGGAGAACTGCTAACTGTTTTGAACAGCTGGGGGTTCCCTCTTGGTGCCGCACGCCCCTGGCAATGGAAAGAGACTTTGTGCACCCCCTCACCTCCTATCTAATCAGGGTTTAGGGGCGGGGGAGCATGTGAAGTCTTTGCCCCTCGCCCCCACCCTACAAGGAGCACCCAGAGGGAGCTGCCAGCTGTTTTGAGCAGCTGGTGGTTTCCTCTGGTACCGTGCACACCTGGTGGAGGGAGGAGACTTTGAGTGCTCCCCCTGCCTCCAGGTCTCGTTGGCCTGAAGGTGGGGGGCGGCAGGGTGGCCACGGGCCGGACCCAACCCGTGGAGGCTGTCTTGCCCACCCCTGTGTTGGATGGCCGAGGAGCACTTACTCTTGACCCAACTAAAACAAGATCTATTAAAGACCCGGCTGCTTTACACGGCTTCTGATTGCCTAATTCCCTTCACCCCGGGAGGATCGCGCTGCTGCTGTCTCACTAAGCTTTAGCCCGTGAGCCGTATGCCCTAGCCTAGACTTCTTGTCTCTCTTGCTTCGTTTCCGTGGATTTTAGCAGATTAAGTCTGAAAAGAACGAAATCTGTTTCTTAGCCATGGCTTCGGGAATAATTCAGCAGCTGAGCATCCAGTAAGCATCCAGAGTAAAACAACAAGCAGTCCTGTGGCACCTTAGGCATGAATATAGATCTTAACTTAGGCTTGAACAGAGGTGAAAGTAAGCCAGAGCGCCCTGCTGCAGTGCACCAATGAGAAAGTGGCCAGCTGGGGGCGGGACCTTAATCCTGCCCCTGCCCCTCGCCCCCTGCCCAAAGGTGAAGGCCAGCAGGCAGAGAGCCCCTGGTGGGGGTGGGAGGGCCAGTGGCCAGAGAGCCCTTTCAGGGGCCAGGATCGGTGGCCGGAGAGCTCCCGGGGGTGGCAGAGCCAGAGGCTGCGCAGCCCCTGGTGGGGGAGGTTGTGACAGGACAGTACCTGTAAGAAATGTCAGTTACTTTCACCCCTGGAGAAAAGATCCTAACTGGTTACCACAAGCTACAAAAGCAATTTCCCTACCCTGGATGGTCATCAAATAAGGTGACTAGGACACCCTGACTTAATTAGCTCCATTAATGCTGGTCCTGCAGGTAACAGCCTTTGCTGTTCTATATACCCTGGATTCTATGAATCCCACTCCAACTCGTCTGATGAAGTGGGTTTTACCCAGGAAAGCTCCTGACCAAATAAATGTTAAGTCTCCAAGGTGCCACAGGACTGCTCATTGTTTTTACAGTGACTGACTAACATAGCTACCCCTCGGAGACTTTTACCATGTCAGTGGGAACTGGTACATGAGAAATAATTAAGGGCTCAGGCTGTAAGCATATGCTCCAAAGAGTCACTGTGTTCTCCAGCACCTGAGCCCTGCATGAATAGAATACGTGCTGATTCGTACTAGCAGGTGGATTCAGTTAGTTCAGTCTGGATACAGGAAAGGTTGAGGTCCCTTGTAAGGACACAGATTTGGGACAGATGTCCTGCAAAAACAACTCCTCCAGGAACAGCTAATCTTGGAGAGAAAGTTTAGACTGAAACGTAAGTTTCTGTTACTTAAATGATCAAGGAAGCCAACCAACTCCTAGGAAGGGGATGAGCCTGGACTGCGTCTCACGTGTAAACTCCCTTCTGAACAGGGCAGGAAGCGGACCTGCTTACAGGGTCATTTCATTTTACTGGCTCAGTACTTCGCGCTTGTTTCTTCAGTGACTTTACTGATTCTCTATTACTGTTTCTGTCCATCTGAAGAGGAGGGATGATTTCATTTTCTTCTTCCATATAAACTGTTGGAATTGATTCAGATTCCTTGTGGTCCATTATCAAACACCACCTTCCCAGGGAGTATACAAAATAGAAGTAAGCTCCTTTGTGGTTTTTGTTAAGGCTGCTGTGGATGCTGAAATTACTGCTGCTGCCCTGTCGAAGGACGCATCATTCAGCTTTCTCAGGAAAGTGAATATGAATGCAGAGCCAAAGTCAAGTCAGCCATTTGCCCACATGCACAAGTGCCAAAATCCAGATGTTCTTTACTGTCATATGCAAACTCCACTGCCTTCTGCTCAATCACAATCAACAGCCGAGCACAGAACGCATCTTGCGTCAGCCACCACGCAGCATGTCTCAGAGTGCTCTCTCAGACCCTGTCTCGCTCCTGCTCCACAGCAGGGAGAGGTCAGCGGGTCTCCTAACGCAAACCACTGGGTTCCGGTGGGAGAGTCTCCAATCTCTCTAGTATTCCAAAGCCTCCTCTGCCACAAAATCTGACTGGCCATATTTTGTACACCTACTCATTTGGGAGAGAACAGGGTCTCTTCAGCTGTACTTTCCAATGGCACCATGCCTGAAACTTCATATGCAAGGTTAGTAAACCATTGCATTACTAAATCCTTCTGATTTCTGGCCTTCAGTATTGTAACACTAAATAGATAAGACCAGTGCCCAGTGCTGCATATTCAATCAGGCCAGCCTTGGTACAGCTGACTCACAGGGCTGAGTATGTACCTACGCAAAATGGAGCTGTCTCATCATAAAAGGTTTTTTTCGTGTGTGTCTCTCCCACTGCTCCCTCTAGAGCAGCATGGGTCCACACTGCACAGCTAGGGCACTGCATCGGCCACACATGTGGGAGGAAGGAGACAATTGCCAGGACTAGGTCCAAGAGAGGGACCCAGCCAGAGGACTTAAGCCCATCACCATGAGATATAAATTCAGACTAACGTCTGGCGCTTGAATGTGACTAAATATTATGTATCCAGTCTCCATGAGTACATTTGTTTCTTTGCATCTGTCTGTGTGGGATGGGGAGGGGCCCAGGAAATGTGAACATTATTTAACATAGAATATATTAATAATAAAGAGGACCAGTCTTTTGTCATCTTCAGCCATGTGCCACATTACAATTCCTACACCACAGATCTGTGGAGGGCTGTGAGAGAATCATCCTACCCCAGGGCACTGCTTGGTCCTGGCTTTGGCTTTCATTCATCTGAAGTGCCAGCACACTCCTCTGTTTCCAGGCTTGTCGCGCTGCAACAATGCACATGAAGATTGTAGCACGGCTGAAAGATTTCCCGAAAATGGTGTAGAAAAGACGTAGACTTGAAGACGATTGTTCTTCAGACGCCATTTTCAGCCTGGCTGCCAGGACTACAGCTGCAGCCTCTTCCTCAGGTGTGCCACACCTGTCACTCTGGGCGTATTCCAAATACTTCACTTCTGGCTGGAGAAATGAGCAGGCGGCCTGCTCCCTGCAGACTCATGCTGGTCTCAGTAAAGAAGCGCTTCCAAGATTCCTTAGGTATCTGTCTGCCGAGAGCCACGACTAAGTGCAAGTGCCCTTTAAATACTTGCAGGTGAGCCACATTTACAAGCACACATGCGTCTAGTTCCAATTGCCTCTCAGCCTCGGACAGATCAATCCTACCACAGCAAGTGCCTCCGGAGGCTCAGAAATGAATTTTACACCCCAGACAAATGATAGCTCTCATCATACACGTTTACTGTGGCCTTTCATCAATGCGTATTCAGACTGACTTGCCAGGGTTGGGTCTGCGACCCACTTCCCACACGCCCTACAGTAAGAGAAACCCTTGCAGTGGTGATTCTGCAGCAGTGTCAGTTCCATTCAAATCTGGGGCATAGTAGTGAATTAAATAAGAAAATGAATAATTTCGTCTGTGTCAGGATCTTGGGCAAAGGCAGGTAGGACCCTGAGAGCCAAACAATCCTTCTCAATGGAGATGGGTCAATTATACTGTCCTTTCCGTACATTAAGATCTCTCCTGTGTCTTGTTTACTCCTGCAGCTCCATGCAGTATGTCCAGTTCAGGATGATAAATGACATTGACAGAACCATGCTGCCGCTGTCGTAGTGTCGATATGATCTGGGATTCCTTAGCACTGTTGAAGGGAGAGAGGATTTGGGGTAATTTCCAAGCACCGGGCATTGCAGTCACCGGGCATTGCAGTCCACAATGGAATGGAATTCAGGGGACCATTTTCTGAACTGATGCAGCTGTAACATTTGAAAGTTCCTGTCCAATCTGCAGTAGGCTGCTCTGGTTCCCTCAACTGAAGGCATTGCTCTGGTCACTGGGATTAACCAGTACGAAGCTCCAGCTACGGTAAGTATCACCATTTTGTTTAGACAAAAGAGAGGACTGTGCAGCACTTTAAAGACTAACAAGATGGTTTATTAGGTGATGAGCTTTCGTGGGCCAGACCCACTTCCTCAGATCAAATTCTGGAAGAGAATTGGCATGACCACATATACCAAAGGAATACAATGAAAAAAAGTGAACACATTATAAAACTGACCAATCAGATTTAGAACAGAAGAGGGGTGAGTACTGAGGGGATCAGGGGAAGGTCCACAGCTGTTACTCTGATCTGCGAGAGGTTAAGACTAGGACACCAGAGGGTGTCTTGGAGTATGCCAAACCGGTGACCGAGGATGGAGTCAACTGACGGCCCATCTACAGTGAATAAAAGCTGCGGCTGGCTTGAGTCAGGTGGCTTGAGTCAGGGCTCAGGCTCTATGGATAAAAACTGCTGTGTAGACAGACATTCAGGTTTGGGCTGGAGCCTGAGTTCTGGGACCCTCCCGCATGACACCGAATGTCTTCACAGCAATTTTTGAACCCCAGAACCCGAGCCCCACCAGCCTGAGTTAGCTGACCCAGGCCAGCTGCGTCTTTGACCCCCATGTAGACATATCCTTTGTTACACATGCCAGAGAGGATGGACTGAAGCCAGCAGTCTGCATCTGTAGCCATCGCATCAGAGAGAAAAAATTAGGCTTAAAATACTAAAAGGAGAGAAAAGAAAATACGTAATTGCTTCAAATTCTTTTAATCTACCTCATTTATGCAATGAGAATACACAGATCATATAGATCTTCCTTGTTAGTATAATGCACTGAGACTACATAGCACCAAAGGCCAATATAAATATCTGGGTTATTTACAAGTGTGCCCATTCTAGATTAAGCTGATTTGTACTTTTCCCTTTTTGCTCCCCGAGTTACGACCACCTCCACTTACAACCATCCGCACTTACGACCAAAGCGGTCGTAAATGCGGATCCGAGTTACGAACGGCAATCCGTGCTTACGAACAGCACGGTCGCCATGTAACTCTATGGGATCCGAGTTACGAACACTTCGAGTTACGGACCTAGTGTTGGTCTGTAACTTGTTCATAACTCGGGGAACGGCTGTATTACAATGTATGATGCACCCTCTGCTGAGTTATAAACCATCACACCCTTCAGGAAATACCTGATAGAAGGGTTACATTTAACAAAGTCAACGTACTTCTTCAAGAGGAATATCACGATCATCCATATGGACCTTGTTGTCTGTCCTCTGAGCCACGAAGACATGCTTGACACCGGGACAGTTCTTTACAGCTTCATCCACAGTCTTCTTCAGCTCTACAACTCGTCCTCCCCTGACTCCCTGGTTGTAGGTAATGACAGCTTTGCAGCCAGCTAATGAGAGAGAGATTTGGCAGACCTATCAGTTTGTTTTTCACTACCTTCTCACAGTGTCACTAGCCTTGGGGATGTTAAACAGCCCGTTGCAATGGTGAGGCTCCTCAGAAACTCTAGCAGACAGTAGCAGCCAACATCACTGGCAAATGCTCCTTCTAATCCTCATACACTGAAGGCAGGATGACCTTTCCAGTCTCTTAGGCAGAGGAGCAGAATTAGGGCCGGATACAAAACTTACTAAAATAGATGAGTCTTTCCACTGGTTGTAATGGGAATTAGATCAGATGGCTTAGGGCACGTCTACACAGCAGGGCAAAAGTCAAGGTAAGATGCGCAACTTCAGCTATGTCATTTGCGTAGCTGAAATTGAAATAGCTTAACTCGGCTTTTGGCACAGTCTACACAACAGGAAGTCAAACACTCCTCCTTCGACTTCCCTTATGCCTTGTGAAATGAGGGTTACAGGAGTCGGAGTAAAAAGTCCTCTAGCCTGACATTATGTCGAAATAATGGCTTCCTGTGTAGACGCACACTTTGTTATTTTGAAATAACGTCAATTATTCTGAAAAAAACGCTGCTGTGTAGACGTACTCTTACAGTGAGTAAAAACCATCTTCTTCCACACAACTCCCCTTTCTGTGAAACAGATATTATAGCCCCTTCAAAACTTCCATTAAGCCCCAATCTTGAGCAAATTCAGTGTTCTTTGTTTGGTTTTTTTGTTCTTGTTGTTTGTTTGTTTGTTTGTTTTAGAGATGCCAATGGATTTCTAGCACCCAGTTAGCTCACATGGGGGCTTCAGGATTTGTGGATTTTCCTGGGAGCTCTATCACAACTGCACTACTTCAGCACAGCACTTCAAATTGCAACACATATTTCATGTTATGTTATTTATGAAGCAGATTATACAGCTGTATAATAAACGAATGTTTACCCATAACTCTTTACTAGTTACCAGAGATAAAAGAGAAGCCAAAAACCTTTACTTGCCCCACCTAGAGTACCTTCCATTCAAAAAACCCCCATGAGACTTAATTCCTCGTGCTAGCCATACAGAAAGATGACCTTTTAGAAGATGTACTGCTAATAATCATAGCACCTAAGGTTATGCATTAGACCTCTGTCTTTTGAGACTTTGTTTCTGTGTTGTATAGCATTGGTTTATCCAATGTTATTATAAGCTCTTTGGGGTAGCACCTATATATATATGTTTATATAGGGACTAGCAAAGTGGGCCCAGATCTTTAATTGGGGACTTTAAGCGCTTCAGAAATACAAATTAATTATATGCTGCAGACTTAGCACTTCACAAGAGTGCACAAGGAAACTGTTATTTCGCTCTAAGAGAACATAACCAGCCCCTTGCCAGAGGTCCCAGTTTTCCCTACGGTTTATACATTATGTGGCAGCAATTTAAAACTGATTGAATGTTAAGTGATTTTAAAAGCTTCTTAAACCCAAAGCAGTTCAAGTCAGTCAGGAGCAGACAGAGTCGATGACGTGATAGTACTCTGATGCTTTGCTAAGGAGAGACTGAACTGCCCAGCAAAATGAGAATAAGCCAACCATATTTCAGGTGTGCCAGCATGGGCCCATCAATGGCTATTAGCCAGGAGGGGCAGGGATGGTGTCCCTAGCCTCTGTTTGCCAGAAGCTGGGAAAGGCTGACAGGAGAGAGATCACTTGATGGTTCCCTGTTGCGTTCACTCCCTCTGGGGCGCCTGGCATTGGCCACTGCGGGCAGACAGGACCCTGGGCTGGATGGGCCTTTGGCCTGACCCAGTCTGGCCGTTCTTACGTGCTTTTCTTTGCAAGCTGAATGTTGAATCTTCATCAAAGGATCAAGCCTTCAAGGAGTAGAGCACGTTCCTAAATTGCTTGTTCATCGTTTTAAACTACTTACAGTCAATGATCCTCCCAGCTAAAGACTCTGCACTGAATCCAGCAAAGACAACTGTATGAATAGCACCAATTCTGGCACAAGCCAACATGGCAGCCACAGCCAGTGGCGTCACAGGCATATAGATTGCCACCCTGTCCCCTTTGTGTATTCCATATTTCTTCAGTGTGTTGGCAAGACGGCAGGTCGTGTCCAGAAGTTCCCTGCAGCACAGAAAGAGATGTCCGGGTCATTTTCACTGGCAAGCTGCTTGTTATTCGTTTGCTCACAATGAAAGATTTACAGCTACAAAGAACAAACGTATGAGCCTGAACCCAGAGGGTCATGATAGGCAACTGCTCATCCACCTCCAAAGCTGTTATCTGTATGGTCCCACAAGGTTCAATCTTCTCCCCCGTGCTTTTCAGCTTCTCTGGGGATGGCCACACCACCCAGAAAGATGTGACTGTTCCAGGAGCAGGCATACCCAAGCTGCCTTTCAACCTAGCTAGTCAGAAAGGTGGTGGCACAGACAACAGTGGAGGCTGGCAACCCCACCACATATGCACCCGGGGTCCCCAGTGAGCCTGTCCTAAATCCTGTGTCATCCTGTCTTCACTCCTAAGTTACCTGGGCTAGCTGGATATGCCTCCCTGTGCCATCACCTTTATTTGTAATGTAGATGTGCCCTACATGAGGCCATTGGGGAACTGATGAGACAGCACAGGCTGAAATGCCAGCAGTTCTCAGTCTATGCCCACAGCTATATCTCTTTTAAATCCAATGTAAATACTTCAACCACCCAACTGTCTCATCTCCTAGGCAAAATGAACACTTGCCTGTAACCAGTACAGCTCTCAGAAGAGAAGACAGTCAAGAAATAATGAAGAGGAGGCTGCTCAGAGATATGCAGAGGTAAGAAATGGATTAGCCTTGTGGACACAGGGTTCATATGGACCCAGATCCTTTTTAACGACAGGATAACACATCTAGAGGCCAGAAGGGACCATCATGACCTCCTAGTCTGACCTCCTGCACATCAGGTTACTGGATTGTTAATCACGTTAATACATTCTTACACACATTTTGGTTTATGCCAGTTCATTGTTCCAAGCTGCTCACTCATTTCTCAATCCAACTCACCCTCTGGGTACAACAATGATTTAAAAAAGCAACGGTTTGCTAAGCAGCTAAATGTATTCCTCCACAATCTGCTACTCTCACAAACACCTTGGCCATGCTAGAAGAGGACAATCCCAGGACAAGCTGCCTTGCTCTTCAAAATTTCAGGCTGCTTCCATCTTTCTAGAGCAGAGATACTGAACACGCAGCCCGCGGCCTGTTTGTTTGTGGCCTGCAGTGCAGTGTGGGTTTTCGCGGGGCTCAACACGTGGCCCGTGGGTGGGAGCCAAAACAAAAAGTAGTCAATATAAATCTCTTCTGCTGAGATACGTTCAGTAGTTAAATTCCTGGACTGTCATTGCTCATTCAAAGTGCTGTCATATGGGTGGAAATCGGGTAAATATTGCATCTTATTAATATCAGCAGAACTGACTTAAATGGGGCCTGTGTGTTGTGTAATCTTGCCTTAATCTTTGTATTCATGCCCCTCAGTGTGAAAGAAGCTATTTGCATATATATCTACATATATATGCAACCACACTTAAGTTGCAGTCCTCAGCATGTCCTGTGTCATTGTCACCCCTGGGGCTTCCAAAGTTGAGTAGCTCTGCTCTACAGAGTACACTGCATCCCTTTAATGAAGTTCACTGGTTGTGTTTTCATCAGAAAAAGCATTCTTGTGTACCAGCTGTGCATTTGTACTGGGGTCAGTCAATGGGAGCTGCATATACAGATCAATACGTGGCCCTAAGCATCCAAACAGCATTAAGAGACAACAAAATGTGTGTATTTTGCAAAATCACCTCAGGGGAGAAGAGACTCAACTACTACCAAAGCAAAGCTCCTCTGTCTGTGTAAAGTAGCCTACCGGCAAACTGGAGACAGTTCAGAGAAGAGCCCTGAAAATGATTAAAGGGTTAAGAACATGCCTATAGTGATAGACTCAAAGAGCTCAATCAATTTATCTTAGCAAGGAGAAGATTAAGGAATGACTTGATTGCAGTCTAGATGTAGCTACAGGGGGAATAAATATGTAATAATGGCTCTTCGGACTAGCAGAGAAGGGTATGACATGATCCAGTAGTAGAAGTCAAAGCTAGACACATTCAGAGTGGAAATAAGACATACATTTTAATGGTGAGAATAATTCACAAGAGGAACAATTCCCCCAGAGTGGTGGTGGATTCTCCATCACAGACTCTTTTTAAAATCAAGACTGGATGATTTTTCTAAAAGATCTGCTCTGGGATCATTTTGGGGCAGCCCTCTGGCCTGTGTTCTACAATGATCCCGATGGTCCCTTTTCATCTTGGAATATATGAATGAATATATGATTCTATGATTCTATGAATGAACCCAGGAATAATGTCTGTGGTACCATGTAGGCGGCAGAAGACAGGACAGTAATGCGCCTCTGCATTTTGTCAGGCTAGCTACATGATGCAGCACCTGCGCTAGCAGCACACCTCTTCCTGTATTTGTCCCTACATATGAATGGCCTGATTTTCAGAGCGTCTGAACAGCAGCTCTCACTGACTTCTGCGGAAGAACCTCTGAAAATCAGGCCTTAAAATCTGCTTAAAACAATGTTGGCATCTTGGCAAAGAAGCAGAACTGGAATAACTATTTGATGTTTCAGAAAAGGATAATCGCAGTATTTATCTGACATGCAGGAGGGCAGAGGCGGAGTAAAACCCAACCAGAGTATATTTTACAAGAATTTGATCAATTGGCTCATGATCCTTACAATGTGCAATTTCACTATGGAATGACATTATCGGGAATGGTGTTACAAGGGGTCACTGCCACAAGAACAAAACCACAAGCCAGTTCCTTGTAGAGAGAAATCCAAAAGCACGGACTAGGAACAAATACACTATTCACACTGCCTATCCATGTGACACTGGTTTAATGGCCGAAATGTTCCTTTAACAAACTAAAAAGACAGCATTGTGGGTTTCACAGATTGCAATATCTCGTACATTTCCTTTGGCATCTGTACTGTGGAGAATAGGCGAGATCAGCCAAACTTTGGACCAAGATACTGTCACATCTCACACACCAAACAGGTCGAAGTGCTCAGTGCTTGGACTAAAGGACTCCAAGAACATCCCAGATTGTTCCAGGATGCGGTTTTGGCAGAGGGGTTAGCACGAGCCAAGGAGCCAGAGAGCTAGGGTAAGCTCTGGGCCTCCTGAAGACAGCAGAAGCTTCCAGCTGCTGATGCTGCCACCACTCAGGAAATGCCACCGGAACATGGCAGGGAGCTCATGTATGAGGAATAGGGATGTTAGCGTATAGACGTTTAAATTATTAACCAATAAAGTTGGTCTTATCAGTTAATCCAAATGACTACACCCCTCCCCTTGCTGCCTCTGATAGAAAGGCAGCAGCACGGAGGGTGAAAGGGGCAGGCAGGAGTCGGTAGACGCAGGAAGCCGGCTTTCAAGCCATCTCCCTGAGTGTACTGGCTCCTGCCCTCCCCTCCTCTTCCCTCCCCCCACGTTGCTGCCTCTCTATCAGAGGTAGCAGTACGGGGGGGGCAGGTGAGAGCTGATACATGTGGGGATCCTGTGGAAGGCAGGAGCTGGTGTTTGGGGGAGCCAGGTTAAAAGACAGCTCCTTACAAGCACCAGCTCCATGGAGCCGTGTGCCCCCCCTCCCAAACATAGGCTGTTGCCTCGGTATCAGAGGAAGCAGCATGGGGGAGAAGGGCAGGGGCTGCTGCTGTAGAGCAGCCTCTGTCTGTGGTCCACCCTGTGACTCTGCATTTAAAGTGTATTAGGAGCCAGGTGGGCAGGCAGCCCGGCTCAGTTCTGGTTCACACTGGGTCCAGGAGCTCAAACCCCCCCAGACAGGGGCTGCTGCCACCCTGGACTGCTGCCCCTGATTCAGAAGCTGTAGCGCAGGATGGCAGGGGTAGCCAGGAGTGGGGCCAGGAGTACACTGGCTGCCAGTCCTGCTCCCAGGGAGTATTTTAGTAACTGTGTAACCGTTAAAAAAAACTCTCCCGTTCTGTGGGTATAAAATATATGATCTCCCCTAGCACCACACTGGTACATAGGGGTTAACTGAGTCAGACAGCAAAATACCCTCTAGTCCAGCACTAGAACCTCTCTAGTCCAGCACTCTCTGCTTTGGGTACCCTCTAGTCCAGCACTCTCTGCTTTGGCAAGATTTCAGTTAGCCGGATGTCCACTTACTATGGGGGTGGCCAAGTTTCCTGTGGCCCTATAAAGTGTGTTTGCAGCCTCCAGTCCTGTACCCATACATTATGCCTCATCTTGATCTCTAATAGCTAGAGATAGCTAAGAAAAGCTGACCAGGGTACAATTTGGGCTGCTGAACAGCTGTGTCCCCTTAATCCTCTAGCCTCCGGTGCTTTTCACAGAACTTTGCTGTTAAGATATTCACTCCTGGCCTGTTCACACAGCCTTCAGCATGCAAATACACTCATGCAAATACATGTCCGTCTGCTATGTACATTGGACAGACGTCTCAGACACTTCGCCAAAGGATCAATGCCCACAAAACAGATATTAGACAGGATCACAAAGAAAAAAGAACCTCCAGAACTAAAAAGCATATGTAGCTTAATCTTGAGCGAAAGAGCCAAACTTCTGTAATGAAGGGCTGTAACAATTTCTGTCCTCTGTGGCTCAGCATGTTAGGGCCCTGTAACACATGCTCACCAGTGGCTTATACAATTACTTTACATATTCAGCATTTCAAAAGGAGGATTCCTTTCAAACATCAAATGGGGGAGGGAAGGATATCCGTTCATAACAAAGTGAGGCCTTCTCTTCACCGTGGGTTAACATCCCCCTTCTGTTCTGAAATGTGATTTGTCCTTTTCATATGTGTTCATTTTTTTAAATTGTATCCTTTGGTATATATGGTTGTGACTATTTTCTTCCACTATTTGATCTGAGGAGGTGGGTGTGGCCCACGAAAGCTCATCATCTAATAAACCATCTTGTTAGTCTTTAAAGTGCTACATAGTCCTGTATTTTGCTTCATCTAATATACGTGACTTCAGCCACACAGATAGCATAGCTGAAATCAACATACTTACCACGGTGTCTTGTGTGTGATAAAGTTG